TGACTTTCCCTTGGGTCTGGGACAAGTAATTAGCCGTGAACAATTGTACTTGGCCGTTTTTAATTATACAGCTTGAGAAACACACTTTTACTTCTGCAGCTGCCGTTTGAAGAAATCTAAAGACTTTACTGAAGTAAGTATCATATTCCTTTTCTTTTCTTTTTAAAACACCTATTTTAAATCCAACTTTTGCAGTCTGCCATGTACCCCTAACTCCCATTGGCTGTGTGATCCTGAAAAATCTCATACTCTAAAAGTTTTATTTTCTCATGTCTAATTGGAGTTAACAATGATACTTTCAGGATTAAGTGAAATAGTATCATGATAGCATTTCATAAATAAAGTTCATGTTATTTTTTAAAAAAAATAATAGCAAGATCTGCCAGTAGCTTGAATGAGCTATGTCTTTCAATCAGTGATTTATAAGAGTGGGTTATAATAGCATATTTTATATTGGGCCCTGAAATCAATTTGCTAGTTTAGGATGAGTAGTTTTTAAAAAGTGAAGCAAAATAGCATAGAAAATGTAAGTCTGTTTCAAAAGTAGTAAGAGTGAGCCTTTTTTCACTGAAGGTTGTAACGTGTGTGTGTGTGTGTGTGTGTGTGCGTGCGTGTGTATGTGTGTGTGTGTGTGTGTGTGTGTGTGGTGCATAGAAGGTTGGGATGTGGAATATTATTTTTTTCATTTTTATGGATCCAAAGCAGTGCAGTACATCACTGGAGAAGGCTTGGCTTATAAATGGAAACAATATCCATTGTAAAACAAGTTTAAAATATCTTTCCCAGCTGTATTCCTCTGGATTTTTATTGAAGATAAAATACCAATTTTTGAAAAATTTTCTTTGAGGATCACAAAATCTTAATCACATGCATCAGAGAACACTTGTAAGCACAGAATTTTCTGTTTCTAGAGCAGATTATGCTTCCCACCTTACTAATTGGCAGGTCCTACCTCTCCTTATTCCTGACTCCTTCTCCTGTAAAACTCAGAGAAGACCGCTCATATCTTAATTTAGTCCCTGGGATAAATCCTGACAGGTCTCAACCAGTCATAATACTTCCATTTCCCTGACTGTGATTGGTTTAGAAAAGAACAAATGACGTGACTCCAGCCAATGAGATGTGAGGGAACTCATCTTGGATGCTTTCGGAAATGGTTTCCTTATTGATAAACATGTTACTGGAAAAGAGTTTCTCTTCCTTCTCCATCTCCTCCTCCTCCTTCCTTTTCCTCCTCTTCCTCTCCTCCTTCTTTCCCTTCCCCTCTTCTTCTTTCTTTTCCTTCTCCTTCTTCTTCTACTAGATGTGTCAACCAGTAACACCTGGACAGATCTTTTAATTCTGAGAGTAACCAGCTGAAGACCCTGCAGTGGATTGTAGGCAGAAAAAAGGAAATAACCTGGGCCTTTGATAACACAGTAATGTTGAGTCCCAGACTTTACCTATTATGAAATTGTTCTACTTTAGGACTTCTTGCTACCTGAGCTATTTTATGTTCTTTAGAATTTAAGCCATTTTAAATCAGGATTTTGTGTTACGTGAGACTGGAAATATTTTCTTTTATCCACCCAGAATAAAATCTGGATTATGTTTCTTAGAAATTTAGCATCTGTCACTGTGTATCCTTGGACTATATTGAGATTTACCATATGCAGTTTCCAGTTTAAGAGCGAGTTGTGAGTCAGCAGGTTTTATTTCACTCTCTTCTAAATCACTGTGTCTCATACTCTTAGTAGTAAACTGTGGCTGAGTGGTCTAAAATGCCAGACTCAAGGAGTAAACTGTGTTAGCTGCTGTAGATGACACCTATCTCAGACCAATCTTTTTTTTTTTTACACCAAGGGTTTTGGGATAAGCGTGCAGAAGAAAGACTCTTAAATGCTTCATGTCACTATTTGTACTTTTTGAGGTAATTTTGCAGCTATTTTCACTGAGCACTCATTAAAATTTACTAATTGAACACCTACAAATGCCAAACGTAAAGCATTGGTGATGTAACAGTAAACATGATCTACATATTTTGTCTTTGTGGGGAACCTAAAATTAAGTTATTTTGTAAATAACTTTATAAAACAGGGCAAATATTATGAACTTTATCAGTTTGCATATTCATTCATAATTCACCTTTTTTTTTTTTTTGTCTTTTTCGTTTTTATTGGTACTGGGGATCGAACTCACGACTGCCTGCTTGAAAGGCAGGTACTTGTGCCACTGAGCTAAATCCTCAGCCCCAATTCGCCATGTTTTTTGAAGAGACCCCGCTATGTGCCTGTTCTGTGCTACGACATGCAGTGGTAGACTAGACATCTGTGACTCACTCCAATGGGAGCTTAAAGTATAGCTCTTCATAATAATCCTACTAAGCAGCACGGATTATTAATTAGTTAATTAATTAATATAGCAAGTAATTACAGAATGCCTTCTCTGTGCTAAATACAGGCCAGAAAACTGAAGTCAAATGAGTTAATCACCATATTAGTGTGAAAGTTCATGCTAGAACACAGAAAATTTTCGTGATCAAGCTGAACTTTTCCTTTGGTCATTGTCTTTAAGACATGGCAGAAGAGAATTAGAATTACTTCCTAAATGCCAAGTTTGTAAATGACATCAATGCTGTCTTTCCAAACAAAGCATAACATAGATAATCTTGAAGATTTCTTTGCATTTTAAGTGTAAAATTTAACTTTATGTCCCAGAGAGACCCAAATTAGCCCAAGTATTTTTAGCTCAAAAGATTGGTGCTCAGTCAAAATGGAAAGTTTGCAAATTAATGAAAAAGGAGTACTAGGATGCTAGAGACAAGTAAAAATCTAGGCTTTCCTGGGGAAAAGATCAGCACCATTGTAATTATTGACTCTAGACTGTCTTTGCCTGTGGTGTACTCTTCTCCAGCATCCATGCTCCCTATGTGTCGGTGAATGGGAGGAAGTGATTGTTTTCTCCGTGCTCTTCTTTTCTCCTAAACTTTGAGATTCTTTAGTTTCCCTAAACCTTGATTTTGTTTATCTAACATGTATGACTCAGATTAGAAAGATGAAGAAGGGTACTTTAAGGATTTCAAATACAGAACATTTCAGTTTTATGATGCTAAAAGTTTCTAAATAGTATTAATACTCAACATTGGGAGACAGGAATTGGAAAATACCACTTTCTCAAATGGCTAACAAGCATTATTTACTTTCTGAAAATAATCCTGAGAAATGGTGTATCTCAAGAGAAGGACAATGATGAAGAAAAAGGAGAGGACAAAAAATGTTGAATATCAAAGGAAGAAAGTGGGTCAGGGTAGAAGAGGATCAGTGGAAAATATGAAATGAGGTCACCTTTGTAGCCTGAGCTGAGCTGGCTCCAGGCAATGAAGGTGGCTGCAGGTACATTTGGAGGTCTTGCTTTTTGAGATTCACGTGGAATCCAGGCAGCCATGGGATACTAGAGAGCCCATGGGAGATCATTCAGCAGGTGCTTCCAACCAGATGACTGACTCTCTTGAAGTCATGTCTTTCTGTTCAGAACATGTATAGATTTTGTCCCTTTAATGTGATACTAATTACATTCTACTTTGCAATTAAGTTTTTGTTTTATTTTGTTTCGTTTTGGGTCTTTTTGAGACAGGGGATCACTGTGCAGTTCAGGCTGGCCTACAGTTTAATTTGTAGCCCAGGCTGGGTTTGAACTCGTGGCAATTCTTCTGCCTCAGCCTTCTGAGTGCTGGGATTAAGGTGTGTGCCACCATATCTGGTTTGCAATTTAGTTTTAAATTAAGCTAATGGCCTGCCTGGAATCTTCTAGACTATGCTGTAACTGAATTAGTACATTCTTAGCGCTAGTCACATATTTGCAGTTTTAGATATAATTCCTAGTACATAGTGAGGAGTTACTGAATATTCTTGAGTGGTCCATAAATTAAATAAGACCCGGTTGTGAATTTGAACATATCTTAAGCATAGAGGTGGAAAGCTGAAATGCATTCTTCTATTTTTATTGCATTTAACTGTTGCAGTTGTTGTTGTTTTTAAATTTACCAAACGGGTAAATAGCTCAATACTGAAAGTAAAAGCAACAAGGTAGAGATAAAATCAGGAGCGAAGAAACTGCCATTAATGGAAACTTGCTCTGACCTCTATGATCTCCTTATTTAGGAGTATATATGGACAGATCAGGCATTATTACTATTTTTTTTGTTTAAATTTATATATTCTGTTTATAAAGAACTACCACAGATTTCTTGGTTCTATGCTAGGTCATTTATATGCCAGATTACACATAATGAATTTGTACCTATTTAGAAATACGCCCATTTCATAGAAAATGAAGTCTGTGATAAGGTTACACATAATACTCTGGTTGAAAATAGTGGTGCCAATGTACCACTGCAGAGCGATTTTCAACTGATTGAATATGAAAACAGAGCTTGGATTCTAGAGCCAGCAACTCAAATTTGAATCCCAGCTCTGGCACTAGCTCTGTGACAAGTTACCTACTTTCTCTGTGCCTGTTTTCTAATATATCAGGTAGAAGTGATGATAGCTATAGGATCATTGGGAGGATTTAACAAACAAAAAAATGAATCAAATACACCTAAATATAGTTACAGATAACAGCATGGTAGGTGTAATATTCCCTAGCCTAGTGGTATTCACTTCCTCATACCAGGTTCCTCATGGACCTGATGAAGACAAATGATAAGTGAAGAAAGGGTCAATGGCACTTTTGTGGCTTTGTTGTTGGCACATCTGTGAAGAGCAGAGACGGCTACAGTAATCCAGTGAGGACAGTGGTGTTATTGTCCCCATTAACAGGTTAGAAAACAAGAGAAACCCAGAGAGATTCATTAGCTCCAAAGTCTTACAAAATAGAGCTAAAATTTAAATTTGATGTCAGGGATCTATACTTCTATGCTGCAGACTTTCCTGTAAGATTCTCATTGTAAGACATCCTCAGAACTATATAGTATTTTTTTTGTGTCATTGTCATATTTTTATTTTGCCTAACCTCCACAGCATACGCCATCTGCATGACAGAGATAGCAGAGCAGAACAAGGCTTGCCATTGTAATGGAATCCAAGACAGATGTCAGGAAGAAGGCACAGCTGCCCTCATGGCGGCCTGACGGCTTCCAAAACTGCCTTAGAAAGTGGCAAGAACTATGAGGTAAGTGTGTTCAAAGAGAGGTGAGTTGAGGGGAATTAATGGTAATATATCTAGTATTATGATCAATTTAAAATAATTGTAAACCTTCTCTGTATATTTTGATCACACCTCATATATCATAAGCGGAAAGTTACAGCCAAAGAACAGAATGGGCAGAGGTCAGTGGATGGGAAATTGTTAAGAGGAAACATTGGAGGTAAGGGGGGCATTTTGGCTAACTGACCTAAGTGAAGTCTTGCTGAAGACTGGCCAGAGTGATCAGGTGTCACCTGGGAGATGGTGGTACAGGTGCCCGTGGGATGCTGAGAGAGGCCAGTGCTGGGAATGGGGAGGGCTGTCACTAAACTGATTTAGCAAGGCTCTTTGCTAAAACTGGATTTTGCAAGCCTCAGGATGGACCTAGAAGAAGGCTTAGGAGCCTGATTAAAACAGAACTGGTTAGCATTGAACTTTCTTCATAGAAACTTTGGAAACAAATCAGTACAAATTTGTCAGGAAGACAATCACTATTTTTTTTTTTTTTTGTCTTTTTCATTTTTATCGGTACCGGGGATCGAACTCATGATGGCCTGCTTGCAAGGCAGGTGCTTATCCCGCTGAGCTAAATCCCCAGCCCGACAATCACTATTTTACAGAAACAGTGATTCCTGAAGCCTGAAAGCCCTAACTATGGAGGAAACATCTGAAATAATGAACAATAACTTAGGGGGAGAAAAGATGCCCACTAGCCACAGGACACATCAATGCAGAAGCGTTGTGAATACCCAGTTCCTCCCGACCCTGAAAGAACTGACATGAGGAGCAGGTGATTTTGAGGTGGAACTCAAACTTGGCACCAGCTTTGGAACAGTGTTTTCCCCATGTCATCAGTCTACCTTGGGGATGTCATCTATCTAAATGGCATCTATTAAGATATCTCTAATTCTTCAAAGCTGAGAAATAACATGAAGCTAAGATATTAAAATAGTGGGTCAACATCCTTTTTGTTAGAGGATTTCAAAGAAAAGAAACCAAAAACACTGGTGGAAAAATAAATAGGTCTTGAGAAGACTTAAGATTTTTCTTTCTCTTTTTTTTACTCACCCCTTCTCTCCTGCCCTGAGTTAAACAACTTCAAATTGAAAGAAATTTTCTGAACGGGGGCTTTAGAAAAGTTTCTAGAATTTCCAAGGAAAAAGACTGATCCTTACAGAAATATTGGGAGAAGGAAAGTGGCCTCAGAAAGTCCTTGTCCTGTTCACATACTAACAGCAGCATTGCCTCTGGGTTGTTTTAGGGCCTTTGGTTAAAAATGAATCAGCAAAAACACATCAAGTTAGAAGCCAGGCACTATCTCTATGCTTGTTTTATACCTAAAATAAGCTGGAAGGGATTGTGATTTAAAATGTTTCGGATGGTAATGTTCCCAGAGTTGTGATATGTCATTTCAATATACATTTATTGACTGTCTGCTTTGTTCTTGGCACTGTAGGGGTACACCGTAAACTCTGAGGTCATCTTACTTGTATTCTTCGCCCAGAATTGGAATAAGATTTGTGGTTAAGATTAAAATGTATTGGAATCTTTGGGCAAGTTTAAAAAATACTCCATATGACAGCACGATCATAAAGTTACAGATAATTAGTCAACATTTTTGAGAATGCAGTGCTTGCTTGGTAGCAAATGGAACATTTCTAGGGCCTTCAACTTCATTTCTGAGAGGTTATGTATTTTTTTCCTTGTTCATTCTCAAATAACAAATGAAACTTGGGAACGTGACGGGCAGGGGTAACTAGAAGACGTACCCTGGGGAGAGAATTACCAAATTGAGGTTTGTTTGCTGAATATTTGGCTTTTAATGAGAGCATTTTCTCCAAAGTGAAATTGATGTATTACACAGATTTATTTATCCCTCTGTAATTAAGATTCAGCCTATGGAGTTTTTTTTTTAAAAGATTATTCTATAATGTGAGTAAACTGCCCACAAATGACAGCTCCTCTCTTCTGAAACCTTTCGTCTCTTTCTCAGCTGATTGATAGGGCTGCTCATGGTCTTTTGCAGCAGCTTACAATATAAAGCAAACTAGTGCCGCAGAAAGCAATGAATAAAGATTCCTTTGTCCCTGATCACGTGGCTGGAAAGAGAATGTCACTGCCTTGAGCACTTTCTTGAGTGGGTTCAGGATCTTCCCCCTTCCTGTAGGTCTCTGAGCTGTTCTTTCTGCATGAAAAAGCCATCCTGTTCCTTGGGGTGACCCCCCTCAGCAGCGCTGCTGACACCACCTCCAGTCCCCAACCCAGACAAGGGATGAACTGCTCACTGCCCAGAGTGTGCATAATTTTTCTTTTGCCTCATGGAACCTTTTTTCAAAGCAGATAGCAGCATAGCCTGGTGTTAGGAGGTCCAAAGCATCGGAATATGCTTGTAAAATGATTTGGCGGCAATATATGAATGCCCAAATGTGAATGATTTCTGCTGGGGGAATTCACAGAGGAATAGATCAACGTATTTGGCAAGGAAGGAAGGAGGCAGAGGGAAAGACAGATTTTTGTACAGGACTGTGGTTTGCTTATCATGCCTGAATATCTGTCTAAACAGATGTGATATATTTGTTTTGATTTCCTAAGCTTATAACATGTAAAATGTCCTGCAGAAATAGAGCATCTGGTCTTTGGAATCTTTTTGTCTCTCATAATCTTAAATTTCTGTTCTCTGTAATTTCTTATTTTTCCTTTAAAAATTGTCATAATCTAGCTGTTTGGTGGACTCTTCTCATAGATTTAAAAAAAAAAATTAGTTTTGGCTAGGAACTAGGGATTGCAGCCAGGGCCTCACGCATTTTAGACAAGTGTTCTACCACTGAGCTATTCCCTCAGTCATTTTTATTTTATTTTTTAAAATTTTGAGACAGGTCTCACTATGCTGCCCAGGCTGGGCTTCAATTTAAGATCGTCCTGCCTTAGACTCCTGGTTAGCTGGGATTATGATGTATGCCATTATGCTGGCAGCCTCTTCTTACAGTTTTTTTAATATGTTGTTTGATTTCAAATTTAGAACCTTGTACACATTAGGTGCTCAAAGAGTATCTTCTGAAAAAAAAAAGGGAATAGACAGGAAAACAAAAAGATTACAATATTAAGCTTTTTACTCATTAGAGTAAGTCTTTCTTTTTTCCATCTTGGTCCCAGGCTCAAATACAATTGCCCTCAGGTATCTGGGGAGGATTGGTTCCCAGACTCCCTCTATAAATATCCAAATCCTCATATGTTCGATTCCTTATATAAAATGGCACAGTATTTGCAAACAACCTACACATAGCCTTCCTTGAGCTTCAATCTCTAGGTTACTTTTAATACTTAAAAATCAATAAATGCTGTTTAAGTAGCTACCACAGTGTCTTTTTTTTGTGCTAGGAATTGAACTCACAACCTTGTGCTATGCCACTGAGCCAAGCCCTGACCCCTACACTGTATTTTTTAGGGAATAATGACAAGAAAAACAGCACTTGCATAATCAGAACTGATTCATTTTTCCCCAAATATTTTCAATCTGTGGTCAGTTGCATTCATGGGCACGAAAGGCACAGATATACAGGGTTGACTGTGTTAGGCATCTCCGAAAAGGGTGTTAATTTTCCTTGGGCTGTTACTGATTTGGAGCTGCAGAATACAAGCTTTGAGCAGGAAGGCAGTGCCATGGTCACTGAGGGTAAGATTAGGGAAAAGTGGGCCCGAGTAAATTGGTCTGCTCTCCCTCGAGGTTATCTTTAGCTACTGAGCTACCTATTTGAGATTTATTGGGCTGTTAGTGATTCTTTTAGGTATAAAGGAAAAAGTAAAAGTAAACACTGAAGATCTAGTTTAAACTACCAAAGCACGCGCTTCGACCCATCTGCCCGTGTCAATGGGACGGGAGTGCTGGAGGCAGGTGGAATGCTCCGTGCACCAACACCGCAGTGTGCGATAGAGTGAGGCACATCTGTCGCCTTTCTCCTCCTGCCAGCCATGAATGTGCACGGCAGCAACGTCATTTTCTACTCCATGTCATAGCCAGAAGGGCTTATATTAATTGTCTAGGGCTGCTATAGCACAGAGCCACACAATGGGTGGCTTCTGAAATGAAAATTCATTTTCTCCCAGTTCTGAAGGCTGCAGATCTGAGACTAGGATGTCGAAGGGGTTGTTGATCACCAGGTTTTCTCCTTGGCTTGTACCTGGCTGTCTTTTGTCCTGTTTCCTTATTGTCTTCCCTCTGCACATGTCCAGGTCTAAATTTCTTTCCCTTATGAGGATGGCAGTCATGTTGGATAGGGCTCACATTAGTGCCTTAATTTCACTTTGATTTTCTCATTAAAGGCCTTATCTCCAAATACAGTCACACTTAGTGGACTTCAACCTATGAACTTAAAGGAAATGTAACTCAAAGCATGACAAGGCCATGCTTGGCAAACCTTTGTCTCACCATTGGATATAAGTTGTTTTATGTCTGGAGGAAAATGAAGTGAATGATTACTGATTATAGTGGAATGATCTGAAAGGGTTGGAGATATTGAAATGGAAAGTAGATATTAAGCAGTGATATAGCTTAAAATGGCTAATTAATAGAAAAGGATCACATTTCCTTGCACTGGGATAAAGACATGTCTACCATGTAGCAGAGAAATTTTACTCAGAATCCCTCAGACTTTCTTACTGGGAATTGGGTAATTTGAAAGGTAAAGAGGTTACTGACGTGTCAGGGAACAAACCAGGGAGAACAAGAAGAATCAGACTTCTCTTAAGTCAATAATAGCTGCGGGACCAAAGAAGGCAGCTTTGTGATTTGAGTATGGTAGGACTGTACTATAGAGGGTGCTCATCTTTACCCATGTCAAAGGTTTCTTCTGCGAAATTATATTAAGAATAAACACCCATATGAACGGGGTTTTTGATTGATAGAGAACTCAGTATGCTTTTAAAGAAAGCCAATGATGAATTTTGAGAGTTTTAGACACAATATAGAGAAAATATTCAAGCTTACC